CTCCAGATCGCCTGCCAGTGGGCTCCATTGGCGTCCAAGATGTCCCGAGGATTCGACAACACGTTGAGCGCCGTGGTAACCTCCTGCTTGGGCAAGGGCTCCTCCTTCAAGGAGCGATAGACTGCACCCCTGGAGGCCTGGTCCGTGAGCCAGCCCTTGAGCTCCTGCAAGGACTCACGCGCCGCACGGCGATGCGCCCGTTGTTCAACCCGCTCGCTGTGTTGGAAGAAGCCCTCCAGGACACGGGGCGTGAGGAGGAGGCAGGGACCGTTGCGCCCCTAGCAACCGCGGGTGCGGCAGCTGGGGGTCCGGTTCGGAAAGAGAGCAGGCGTCGCCCCTCGAACGGAGGCCGCCTACATAATACGGAGTCCGTGTAACAGAAGACGGACACGGAGGGCCGCGCCTGCTTGCACACCAATCGAGCTTCCGTGAGAGGCTCGCCTACCTGGGACAACCCACAGCGCACCTGGGGCATGCAAGCAGCGGCCCAACCATCGGTGACTGCGCGGCCCAAGCAGGCCGGCCTCTCAGGGGCTCCGCCGCGAAGACAAGGGAGCTCCACGCGGCGCTCCAGCGCCGGCCGCGGGCGTAGGGCCGCAGGCGAGCTGGCGGAGCACCGCGGTCGAGAGGTTGTCGATGTCGTGCTGGCGGCAGAGCCACTGCTCGAGGCACAGGGCGGACAAGGCCGCACGCTCCTCTGCGCCAGTCAGCGCAGCATCGGGTGCGCCACGGCCAACTCCCGCCTCCGCCGGCGGCGCGCCGCCAACTCCAGCCAAGCCGCCCGCAGCAGCACGCCGCCGAACACGACGTGGCATGCGCGCAGGCGCTGCCTCGCCGGTCCAGTCGTCATCGATCACGATGTCATCGCCGCTGTCGTTGACGCCATCAATGTCGGGGGCCGCCGCAGCATCGGCAAGGTTAGCGGGTCCAGGGCCGACGAACGCCACCAGCGCGCCAGCCCGCTCCGCCGCCTCGTCCACAGCCGCCGCCTCCCCCTTTTCCAATGCGCGGCCTGCGGCGCCGCTCGCGCTGGGCCTCCGTGGAGGGCCGCTTGCGTGCAGCAGCAGCAAGAGGCTCGCCAGGGCGCGCACCGTCTCCAGCAGTGTCGGGCTCCCGCGTCGTCTGCCCAGCCGCGAAAGCTGCCGCCGAGACCGCGGAGCGGGCAACCGCCGAGACAATGCGGCGCGGTGCGCCAGCTTCCACGTACCGCGGTCGGCAGCAGCCACGAGAGCCGCCAGGTCCGCCGAGGCCGAGGGCGGCCCTCTGGGCTGCGCCATCCCTCGGACCCGCGGGGGAGGAGGAGGGATGCGCGGCCGTGCCATCGCTTGAGCCAAAAAGGAGGAGGAACAAGAGGAGAGCGAGGAGGAGGAGGAGGAGGAGGAGGAGGAGGAGGAGGAGGAGGAAGAGGAAGAGGAAGAGGAAGAGGAACAGGAGGAGGAGGAGGAGGAGGAGGAGGAGGAGGGAGGAGGAGGAGGACGGAGGAGGAGGAGGCAGGAGAGGGAGCAGGAGGAGGAGCAGGAGGAGGAGGAGGAGGAGGAGGAGGAGGAGGAAGGAGGAGGAGAGGAGGGGGGGAGGAGAAAGGGGGAGGAGGAGGAGGAAGGGGGGAGGCGGAGGAAAGGGGAGGGAGGGGGGAGGGGGAGGGGTCGAGACGCACCGTGAGGCGTCGCAACAATGTGCCTCGCAGCCTGGGACCGCGCAAAGGGCGGGCGGCAGCCTCCCCGCCCCTTCCGCGGGGACCTCCGCCGTACCCTCCGAAGCCCCGCCGCAACTGGCAAGCACTGTGCGCGGGCCCGCGCATCCGCCCAAGGAGGAGGAGGAGGAGGAGGAGGAGGAGGAGGAGGAGGAGGAGGAGGAGGAGGAGGAGGAGGGAGGAGGAGGAGGAGGAAGAAGAAGGGAAGGGGGAGGGGTCGAGCCGCACCGTGAGTCGTCGCAGCAGTGTGCCTCGCAGCCCGGGCCCGCGCCAAGGGCGGGCGGCAGCCTCCCCGCCCCCTCCGCCGGGACCTCCGCCGTACCCTCCAAGGCCCCGCCGCAACTGGGAAGCACCGTGCGCGGGCCCGCGCATCCGCCCAAGGAGGAGGAGGAGGAGGAGGAGGAGGAGGAGGAGGAGGAGGAGGAGGAGGAGGAGGAGGAGGAGGAGGAGGAGGAGGAGGAGGAGAGGAAGAGGAGGCTCCCGCTCCGGTGTCCTGCCCGCGAGGGTCCGCCAGCCCAACCCGCCCGTCAGGATCCGCCCGCCCGGCCCCGCCCGGCAGGGCCCGCCCGCCCTCCCAACTCGCCCGTGATGGCGCGTCGGCCCGCCTAGCGGATGCGGAGGCGGCTTCCGCGGGACCGCGATCTCGCCGACGACGTCTGGGCAACTTGCATGCAGTCGTGCACTCGTAGCGCCCAACGGTCGGGGTCGGATTGGTCCAGAACTTGTGGGGGAGCCTGTTGGTGCCAGCCTGCTCCTAAGAGAGCGCCGCAATCACCAGCGATCCACTGTGGGGAACGCCGACGCAATGTCAAACGTTGCCCCTCCTCCTCTCCTTGACAGAACTCCTTCCTGTCTCACCCCCAGAGGTGTTGGTAGGGCGGATCGGACGTTTCGTTATAAACTTCCCCACCATTTACGGCACTGAAACGTGATATTCGCAAACAGTTCCATGGATTGGACACAGGTGGTTTCCAAAAGGTGCCTCTCGCCCTAGCGCCGAACACAATTGTCTGGCAATCCTTCAAAATAAGATTATCCCCTTTACGCCGTGCGCATTCGCCTTGAACTTGTGCAGCAGCTCCACAGATGAAACATTTTACAATTTCAGAATGCGGCTCTCGCCTTAGCGCTGGGCGTATTCGCCATGATAGTCCGTAGCAAGTCCAGGGATGCATTGTTTTCAATAATGGGGCTCTCGTCATGGTGCCGCGCACGTCCGTCCTGTACGTTTGCATCAGTTACATTCATGGGCGACGGATCCTGTCCACACTGGGGCTCTCGCTTGAGACGTCCTCGATGTTCGTGACCAGGACTGTAAACTTGTGAAACCGCTACACCTCTTTCAGAACGGGGATCTCGCTGGGCGCCTACAGCCAAGAGGAGTATTCAGGACGACAGGTGGTAAGGACGCAAGGCGCTCGGAGGCCGAAGCTGGGATTTGTTGGGCGGCGGGCGACCCGTGAAAACGGCAGAGGGCGGGCCGAAGAGGCAAGGACACAGGGGCACCCTGGATGAAGGCGCGCGTCCTCTCCAGGCGCGTTGACTGAACTGTAGTTGGGCCGTGCGAGCATACCTTTTCCACATTTCTGACTGCGCGCTGGAAGGATGCAGGGCCGTTCCCTTGCACGCAGAGCTCTCGCCCGAGTGGCAGGCCGATGGGGCGCCGGCCTTGCCGAGGGGCACTTCCTTGCAGTGCAGCGGGCGGCGTGCAGGAAGTGCCGCGGATGGGATCTGGGACGGGAGGGCGTACCGCACCATCGCTGATGCATCTTGGGTGTACTTCGGTCCTCCTCCTCCTCCTCCTCCTGCTCCACTTCCTCTTCCTCCCGGCGTGTACCCTGGGCGGACGTCCTACACGTCACGCGACTCGGTGTGTGTACCGCAGCCCTCGCTGCGGGTGTGGCCGCAGTCGCAGCTGCGGCCGCGTGTGAACCGGCCGAAGGCAGACAGGCGAGATGCCAATAGAGAACCTTGTCCTCCTCCTCCTCCTCCTCCTCCTCCTCCTCCTCCTCCTCCATTCCTTGTCCTTATAAATAACTTCTCCCTGTCGCACCCCGTGGCCAATTTTTCGGGCGGGCCGGGCGTTTCGCCTGAGACTTCCTCACCATCTTTGACTCTGAAGCTTAAGAAACACGGCAACAGCTTCACAGATGGAGGCCGGGCCGTTTGCAAAATGGGGCTCTCGCCTTCGAGCTGCGCACATTTGCTGTATTAATTGCAAGATTTTCGCGGATTGAGGGCGGGCCGTTTTCAATATGTGGCTCTCGCTTTGACGCGGCGCACGTTCGTTTTAAACACTTGCAGGAGTTTCACGAATAGAGGGTGGGTCCTGTTCAAAATGTGGCTCCCGCCTTAGCGCGGTGCACATTTGTTTGTAAACATGTGCAAGAATCATTTTTTGGAACCTCCACAGTAGTGAACTCAGCCCGTGGCTCCGCTCTCATCGTGAGCCTCCTCACGAGAGCCGACGGTCGGACTGATCAGGCCGCAGACAGGGTGCGATGGCGCTGTGAGGACACCCTCAGGCGCGCTTCGAAATGCTGAGCGGGAGATCCAGCAATCCCAATGCAAGAGTTTCACGGATTGAGGGCGGTTAAGTTTCAAACTGTGGCTTTTGGTTTAGCGCGGCGTACGCTGGTTTTTATCATTTGAACGAGTTTCACGGATTGAGGGGCGTTCCTTTTCAACATGTGGCTCTCGCCTTAGCGCGGCGCACATTTGTGTTTAAACATGTGTAAGAGTTTCACGGGTTGAGGGCGGTTAAGTTTCAAACTGTTGTTCTTGCTGTAGCGCGGCGTACATTCGTTGTAACGAATGGCAAGAGTTTCGCGGATTCTCATCACCAACGTGCCAGAACTACTGTTTTTGACGGGCTGAGGATTATGCGGGTGCAGCAGTTATGTTGCCTCGCTGTGTTGAAGTCCCAGGAACGGCGTTCTGGCACGATTGAGGATTGCCAAGACGCAACAATCAGGTTGATCCATGGCGTTGGACTCCCGAGAACAATGTCTTGGCATGCTTCAGGGTCTTCAAACGGTTGTCTTCCAAAGAGGCAGTTCCTTCAGTGGAAATGAACCGCTGTATGAGGCTGGTGGAGAGGGAACTTTGGGGGAGGGCTTGCTCCAACATCGTTGATGGCTCTGGGGTTTACATTGGTCTTCCTCCTCCTCCTCCTCCTCCTCCTCCTCCTCCTCCTCCTCCTCCTCCTCCTCCCCCCTCCTTCTCCTCCTCCTCCTCCTCCTCCTCCTCGTCCTCCTCCTCCTCGCTCGTCGCCCACGGCTGCGAGGATCCCCGGGGCTTCCGGCAGGTCCTCGGCCTCCAGCTTGTCGGCTCGCGAAGCGGCCTGCTTGATGTCCACGTGCGGCAGCAGCTCCTCGCCCCCAGGGGCGGGCAAGCTCAGCACGTGGACCTCGCCGCGAGAGGTCGTTTCCCGCCGCCGTCCTTTCCTTCATCCCCTCTCCGCCTCCTCCTTCCTCCCACCCTCCGCCACTCATTCCCCTCTCCCCCTCCCCCTCCTCCTCTCCTCTCCTCCTCCTCCTCCTCCTCCTCCTCCTCCTCCTCCTCCTCCTCCTCCTCTCTCCTCGCGCCTTCCTCCCTCTTCCCTCATCCCTCCTCCTTTCCCTTCCCCTGCATCCTCGAGTGCACGGGTGCACGCACAGGCCTGAGGGCCAAAAAGCGCTCGGCGACGGGCAAAACATAGAGAAGGACAACCAGGGAACTGCCCAGGAGAAGAAGGAAAGGCCGAGAGGAGGGAAGACAACAGGGAAAGCGGGGGCAGGCGCCCCCGAAGTCCCCCGACCCCCCCCGGGCGCCAGCGCCCGCCCGTGGACCCCTGGCCATGGGAGGCGGGGCTCCCCGTATGCCTAGATGCGCCCATCTGGGGCAGGACGCGCGACGGGCGGCCAGCGGGCGCCGTCTCGGCACGTCGTCGCCGTCGCCGTCGTTTACTCCGGTCGGCGGTGGACAAACCTCCCTTCAGTAGACCTCCCCCTAGTGAGAACGGCCTGGGACCGACACCGACGGACCTGGTCCCGAAACAATGACGGCCGCGACGCCCTCTCGCGAACCGAAGACGGCCAGTTCCTTAATCGACGTGTCAGGGTAGGAGGTCTGTCCACCCCGATCCAAAAAGGGGGACGGGGGGGTGCGAAGGCCCGCGCCGACCAGCGAAACAGTGAACAAGGAACGATCACTTGTTGTCCCTTATCTTCCCCCTGCTTCTATCACCTGTCCGGCCCTCGCCCAAGTAGAACTGCTCTCCAGAAGTTCTGCGCTACCGTGGGGAGGTGCAGCGGAAAAGGGGAAGGATGATGAGGAAACTCCTCGTGTAAATTTCTGCTCGCGTACTGCCTGATTCCTCCAGTCCTCAAGGAAAGCGTGCGACATGAGCCTGCGAGTCACACTCGATGCAGTGAAGGGCCACCCTGCCCTTGCCGCGCCATAGACCACACATGTAACATCTGGCCTTGTGGGGCGATTGCCCGCGAAAGAGCTGCTGCGTCCGCGAATGCCTTGGCAGCGCATGCGGACGCCCGAAGGGGATGAGCGCAACGCATCATCGCGCGTGTCTGCATCGGCGCTGCAGGTGACCACTGACTGGGACAAGTCGACCTGGTCGGCGACGTTGGCGGCGTGGTCCGCGTCGGAGTCCTGGGCCCCCATGCCAAAGAACCCCGCTCAATGAATGTTCATGGTGAACCTCCCCGCGTACTTGCCTTCGCCCTTGCCTTGACCAGCGCAGTGCGAATGATTCTTGTCGTCGACGTCGACATTGGACGCAAGCCAACCAATGCAGCCTCTGCCTCTGCCGAAACTCCCCACCGAGATGGTCTCTGAGAAATTGGCGAGGCAACCGTCGGAATCATCTGCTCCGAAAACTTCCGCACGTCCCCATTATTCTCGATTTGGATTATGATTCGGCTCCGCGTGTGCCAGGGAACTCCTGGGGGTATTCGGCAGACCGCCGCAGCTTTGGCATCCATGGCGTGGTCTACGTTTCCAGTCATTGTCGCTTTGGCGCTCTCCTTATCGACCCCGCCTTGCGATCGCTGCCCTCGACATGCCGCGCTCGGGCAACGACGGGGTCTGGTTGAGGACGTCCGCTCGTCGATCGAGGGGGGGGGTCTTGATGTCGAACAGCTGCCTCTGCAATTTTTGGAAAGCGCGGCCGTGCGCCTGGCCCCCTAGCCAGGCGAGCTCGTCGGAACTCCCGCCCAGGCTGCTTGTGAAGGTGGCGACGTTCTACTGGGCCGCGGGCTCATATGTAGGCGGCTCAGCGGCTTCGGCATCTGCTCTTGTCCAGTTCTGAGCCTTCTGCCGAGGCTGCATCCCCCCTCTTCTATCGAAGCGCGAGCTGCAAACGCGCGGTCCAAGGCCCCCCCCCCCCCCTCCTCGCTTGAGTGAGGGGGCGCCTGCCCCCCCCCCCCTCCAATATTCACGTCAACTCAGTGTTGTCGCAATAAACGGGAATTTACGGGCAAGCGTCCATGATCGGCTTGCATCGCGTAGCGCCTGCGCAATTTTTGACCCAGGAGCGTAGGGTTCAGCATGGGGCCCCTCTCGACAAGGCACCCGCGCGGTGCCTCAACCGTGGCGTTAAATCCCCGTGGGTCCGAGGTTCTCTTGGGGGGGGGCGGGGCCCCCTGGAGTGGTATGGCGATCCATGTAACATCTAAGTTAGGATTCGCATTCCGCCCGACGGGGGAATTATATGACCTCGCCGAGCACTCGCAACAGACGCCCACCTCCCGGGGGGCCAGTCCTTGATCGTCCTCGATGCATATATGTATGTGTATATATATATATATAGAAATATGTATATATATATAGAAATATATGTATCGATATTTATATATTTATAGATGTGCAGAATACGCGTGACTCAGGAAGGCTACCAGACGCCAACGTGGAACATGCTGCCCTCGATGAGTTCCAATTTGGCCATCTCGAATCTGCGTTTCCTGCTGGCCGGGGACTTCAACGTGGAGCCCCGCGCTCTTCGGGGCGCGGAGTTCCCGCGGAATCTTCGAGGCCAGGTGGTTGCGACAGAGCGTGGCGCGTGTTTTTGGGCGGGAAGCCCGAGGCTCTGCGATTTGGTCGTCTTCTCTGGCGGCCTCTCGCAAGCCGTGGGCTCATCTGCTCCGACCGCTGCGACTTTCCCATCCTCGCGCGCCCGCTTAGGTCAACTGTAGCGCCGGCCTGGCCGACCTGCGCGTGCTCGCTTTTCGGGGGCCACCCCCGATCCCCGTGGATGCTCCAATCGGTCCCAGCCCGTGTTGTTCCCCCCTTGATGCTAGGGGTTCGGGCCTCATGGGTCAGGCCGCGCAGCGAGCCCGCTCTGGCCAGACGGGCGTGCTCGACTCTCAACGCCCCAAGGCCCGCAAGATTTGGGCCAACTGCAGACCGGGAACTCTGCTCGATCATGGGCAGATCCCTCCCGTGCTATGGCGCATGGGGTAAAGGGCATTTCGTGCGGTGGCGCCCCCTTCTGGGGCGCGATCGCGGGTCGCTCCGTTGCCCCGAGCTCAGTGGCATGAGATGGGTGCCCGCTCTGTTCAAGGCTTGCGCTTCTTCTTATCGTGAATCTCTTGCTGGCCGGCCCGTCGTGCATCTTCCGAGAGTGATGCGGCAGGGCGCCGGGGCGCCGGCCGCCCCCCCGCGGATCTAGCTGCGCTCGACTCGGCAAGGCGTCGCTCGCGGGCGTCTCGGCCACCTCGGGCTCTGACCGCGCTCCGTGCGGCGAGGGGCATCGCATCGTAGGCACTGGCGAATCGCCGTTCTAAATGTCAGCAGCAGCATCGAGAGGCCCGGGCTGCTCGGGCAAATTTGGAGCGACCGAAAAGGGGATCAGCTGAAAAGGGGGTGGCGCAGCAGACTTGGGGCAATTGCGCGGCGAATGCGCTGCGCCCGAGAATCGCGCTGCATTGCGTTGCAAGTGATGCGTCGCGCGCGAACATCCAGCAACGCATCTGCGCCCTGGAACTCGTTGCGCGCCCTGGATGTATTGCAGCCCCGCAAATCTATTGCGTCGCACCAGCTGCGCCACCCCCGTGTCGCTGGACCTCCTTCCGGGTCGACCCGATCAATGGACGGATTGCGGAAAGGGGCTGGGCGTGATCACCAGATCTCTCGTGGCCCCGCGGCGCGGCGCCCCGCGCCCTGCGCCCGGCCAATTCGGCGACGCGGTCTCGGGCCCGCTGGAGCTCCCTCGGGCGGGGCCCAAGCGACGTGGGACCTCGTGGAACGCCCGCCCCCCCCCCCAACTTCCCAGGCGCGTCGCTAAGATTTTGAGCCCCCCCCCTGCAATCGGACCAGATGCGCGACATCTTCAGGGGATCTTCTCGTCGTTCGACGGCTGCTCTGGGCGGCTTTCTTTCGCGTGCGGCATTGCCGCAATCTTTCGGGCGAATGCGTCGCCTGTTTGGCCCTCGTGCCCCAGTTGGCAGTGATGCCGGCGGTGCTCCCCAACGAGCTTCGCGCCTTCCCTGTGGCTTTGATTCCCGCGGAGGTCCAGGCTTCCGCCCCGCCGGCGTTCTGTCTTCGACTGTCTTCGCGCATGCGGTCGCGGGGGCAGCTCCGTCACCCCTGGGCCAACGCGATCGGCCCCAGTGAGCCGCAGGTCAGCACCGCGCAGCCGCTGGCGCTGTCTGGCGCCAGGGCGTCCGCGCTGCGACCAGCGCCTCAGCCAGACAGCATGCGGCGTCCATCTTTGAGGGCGCCGTGCAAGTTTTATGAGCTCATCCCGCCCCTCTTCTAGAAGCTCGCTGTCATCGGCTTAGCTGCCGCCCAGCTCGGATCGGGGTATGTCTCGCTGCGTTCCGATCTAGCCGATGCCCTGTTCTCAGTGGGGTCGCCGCTCCTGAAGTGCGCGCCGATGCGGGCCTCGTTGCTGGTTGCCCCATGGCGCAACCGCATTGATTCGCGCGTTCGGCATCGTGGCGTTTGACGGCGTTTCCTTCTCGGTTTCGTTCGGCGCGTGCATCGATGACGCGAGTCTTGACGGCGCAGGGCAGCGTGAGCCTCCCGTGGCTAACATGGCCAGCCCCGCTGGCCAGCTCGAGCAGGCCACCCCTTGCCCGATGCAAACTCACGCAGCTTTGGATCAAGTCGGCGTGGTGCCCAGCAGTAAGGTCGTGCCCTCTAGACTCCAGCAGGCCTTCGGATATCTTGTTTGGGCCCTAACCTGACGCGGCTGTGAACCTCGGCCACGACCGTGCCACTGGCACCTCGCGCCGCGTTCGCGGTCGCAACGCCAAAGTTAAGGCCAGACTCGATGCCGCGCGTCGTCGCGCGGGGAGGCTCGCGCGCCAGCGCGGCACCCTCGGGGGTTGCGCAACTGAAGTGTTCTGTGCTGACGGAGCAGACGTGTGCGGCATGTCTGGCGGCAGGCTCTTGCGCGTTCGGCGCATT